AACATTTCAAGGGTAAATGCTAGTAAAAATCGGACAAGGGGTAGTGATGATCTTGGGCGAAGATCAAGTGTAACAGTGGGCCACTTCCATTACACTGTATTTCTCGCTTATTTTTCTAGTATTTCAGGTTTCCTGTCTTCCTTCAAGGGTTCAATGATACTTGTGTTTGAACAAGTTGAGAACTGGGCTACCATGGTATCTATGTACTCATCGTGTAGCCTGGGTACTGTAATCCATACAGTGGCTAAAGGATACCTCCTACTTTTATTATTATTTTTTTCAAAAACTAGTAATCAAGAATTTGTAAATTTCTATGATTAGGATAGTTAAATACTTAAGTATTGTCCTATCACTTATAATATTATGTCCTAGTACTATTGGTAATAATAATAATAATAATAATGATAAAGACTTAAATAAAGATAAAATCTTAAACTTATAATTAATAATTATTATTATTCAATTGCTTCAGTAATTAAGTAATTTGGATGCTATAGTCTCAAACACCATCCTGCTATATTATGTGCTTCATGGCTAACCAGCCCTTAACCGGCATATGCTTTGGATTCCCATTTCTGGGAATCAAGGTCACCTACAGCTATATTATGAATCCCAATTACTTATTCACCTGGATTTAACCAACTATACTATCAAACAATAATATTCACTTAGGTATTTGATTAATTCACTCACTATTATTACTCTTTTATTCAGTTTGGTTAATTTTTGATTTTGGTTTTTTTTTTTTTTGATTTGATTTTGATTGATTTTTTTTTTTTTGAAGTCACAGAAAAAAAATGATAGACTGATAGAGTCGTAAAAATGAAAACGGAAAAGAAATAAAATTGTGAAAATAAAATTAATAATAAAATTACAAAATCGAACATGAGACAACTGTATGTGGGTATCAAGCATTTGTTATGATCAGGTGTGAAATTCTGTTTTTTTTTCTTTTCTCTTTCTCCCTTTTTTTTTTTTTTTTAATTTATTTTTCTTCCCTCTCCTTGGTCGCGCATACCACAAGTGGTCATCAGGCTTTGGTATGTATCGCCATGCATGATTTTGATCATGCTAATCATGATGTGCGTTGTTCGATAGATTTGAGCGATGCCTTGTTTTTTGAACATCTGGTAGATGGCGTACATCCGGTCCGGTAATGCCGTGATAGCATACCTTTCAGTACCTTCCCTCATAGGGATTTCATTATATTCGCAACAATTTCTCCAATGTAGAAAACGTATGCGAGTGCCTTGATTCGATTTTTCTTTGTTGCACCCTTCTCATTTGTCAATACATATCAGCGATACTTGTTGCCACGTCTCGGTTCCCTTTGTGCGGTCGAGGTAAGATTTCCGGATGTATTGGTTCAGCTGCTGCTAGATCTGCAGTGATTAAAGTTAAGTCGGTACTTATTTCGTTTTCCTTTACCATTTTCTCTTTTTCTGTTTATTCACTTTCCGTTATTTTATGCTTTTCCTGTGTTGTTTGTTTTTATTTCTGCCGCGTCTGTTCCTATATTCCTGGTAGCGAGATTAGTTTAGAGTATCAAACTTCCTCTGTTGCCCATATTCCACAGGGTCCTCATACTTTTTAGTAACTGTTAGTTGATTAATCTCTTCAATATTTTTCCATCTATCATACGCAACTGGCATACAGCATTCGGTTGTACCTCGTGCACGTAAAATGGCCCTATTCATTTCGGGTCTAATTTGTTGCTTCGTGAGTTTTCCTGGGATGCTTTGTACATTAGTACCTTGTCCCCAACGGTAAGATTTTTCTTGTATTGGTATTTTTGGTCATGCCGTGTTTTTATCTTTTGTTGAGTAGCATTTACTTGTGTCACCATGTCTTTTCGACGCTGCTGTAGTACTTCTACTAAGTCGGTAATTCGTTTATGCATCGTTTCCCCCCTTGATTTGTTACTTTCCATATGGTGGATTGGGGTCTGTGCCTCCCTCCTGTATGTCAGATAGAACGGAGTCATCCTTGTCGCCTTCTGGCGTGCTGTCCTATAAGCGAATAGTACTGAGGGTATCATACAGTTCCAATTCATCACATCGCGTACCAATTTAGCAATGGCCTCACATAAGGTACGGTTGAATCGCTCCACCAGCCCGTTTGTTTGTAGATAATATGGTGTCGAGTACAAGTGATTGATACGGAACTTTTTTAGGAACACGTTTAGCATGCGACTCCTAAAATTCGTGCCCTGGTCGGACAACAAATAAGTTGGGCATCCATGCCAGCATACCATTTCTTCATAGATAAACTCCGCTACCTTTTGTGCCGTCGCTTCCTCCAAAGCTCGAGCCTCGGGCTACTTTGTCATATAGTCAATGACGACTACAATGTAGTGATTTCCTCTAGGGGTAGTGGGTAGAGGCCTTACTATGTCGATCCCTACTTGTGCGAATGGGTTTCCCACAGGTATGGGATGTAGGGATCCTCGTCACTTATTCCTTCCCCTCCTTTGCCACTGGTCGCAAGATCGCACGTATGCTCGAATATCTTTGTACAGCTGTGGCCAGTAATACAAATTTCAAATTTTGTTAAACATAATGTCTCTCCCCAGGTGTCCCCCAAGTGGGTGATTGTGTGTCAAATACAGGATGGGGCCTATCTCGTGGCGCCGTAATACTTTCAGTAGATTATTTTTTTTGTGCTTATCCTTCTTATAGATGTCTTCTTTTTTCATCACAAAGAAGCTACTCTGTGCCTGTATTCTTTCTACTTGTTTCTGTGAACACCCCACGGGTAGCCGTCGTTCTTGTAAATATTTCTTTTGTTGTCTATATCATTCTTCGTCCATTATATTTACCAATTCTTTCAGTTATTAACGTACTAGTATTGCGATTATTATTTGCCAGGACACCGGAACCTGGGCTGGATTCTGTTCCTTGGATTTTTTTTTTTTTTTTTTGCGTTTGCCATAGTTTATATCTTTTTCTCTCTCTTTTTTTTTTTTTTATTGTTGGTCTACTATATTGCTGTTTGTGATGTCTGTTTCGTCGTGCGAGTAAACTGAGTCATTTTCTGTTTGTTCAAACCAATTATTCCCTTCCTTTTTCTTTTTTGCTTCCTTGACTTCCGCACTCTTCATCTGTTTCATTTCACTAGTCAAGCGAGACAGAGCGTCGGCATTGGAATGTTTTATTCCGGCCTGGTGCAGAATTGTGTAGTTGTATGGTTGAAGGCGGAGGACTCAATGTGCCCTCCTACCCTTCAGCTTTGAGGTCTCTAACCATCGTAGTGCCGAGTGATCAGTCACTACTATGAATGGTTTCATGCCGAGGTAGTGGTGGAAATATTTGATTCCCCATATCACCGCCAGGCATTCCAGCTCTATTGCGGCATAGTTCCTTTCTGCCTTTGACAAGCTTTTGCTAGCGTACGTGATCACGTATTCTCTCCTCGCATCATCAACCTGAGCTAACACCGCTTCCACGCCTATTCCTGACGCGTCAGTATGCAAATAGAACGTTCTTTCGAAGTCTGGATACCATAGGATTGAGGCAAAGATGAGGTATGTCTTTAGTCATTCAAATGCTGCTTGTTGTTTGTCCGTCCACTCATACCATACATTTTTCTCAAGCAACTGATGTAGCGGCTTCGCGATTGCTGCGAACCTCCAGATGAACCTTCGATAGTATGAGGCGAGACCTATAAAGCTTCTTAACTACTTTATATTTTCCGAGACAGGGAAATATATCACCTTCACTATCTTATCTTTGTCCGGTCGAATGCCGTCTCTTCCTATGACATGTCCCAAGAATCACACATTCAGTAAAAAGAATTTGCACTTTTCTGCATTCAGTTTTAGCAAAGCTCGATGCAGTTCCCCGAAGATATGAGTTAAGTGGCTAGTATGTTCTGAAAATGTCTGTGAGTATACGATAATGTCGTCTAGATACACGGCTACAAATTTCCCCAGGTAGTTGTATAGCACCTCATTTATGAGCCTCTGAAACGTCGCCAGGGCATTGCATAGCCCAAACGGCATCACGTAGAATTCATAAGTTCCAAATTTTGTCATAAACGCTGTCTTTTCACAGTCCCTTTCATGGACCCACACTTGCCAGTATCTGCTAGTGAGGTCAAGATTCGAGAACCATCTCGCTCATCCGAGGGTCTCGATCAAGTCATCGATTCTCGGTAGTGGGTAGGCATCCTTCTTTGTTACCACGTTTAGCTTTCTGTAGTCTACACATAGGTGCTGCTTCCCATTTTTTTTGGGCACCATCACAATCGGTGACGCCCATGGACTTCTTGACTCCGTAATCAGTCCTTGACTCTTCATCTTTGCTAACTTGTCCTTTACATATTTATGTTCATCAGAGGCCATTCTGTACAACGTTTACTTGATTGGTTTAGCATCACCAGTATCGATTTCGTGCTGAATCAAGTTGGTCTGAGTAAGTTCGACCAGTTCTCTAGTGAATAGTTTGTCTTTTGTTTCGAAAAGTTTTACTTCCTTCCTCCTCTCTTCCTCTGACAGATTGTCTAGATCCACCTTCAGTTCTTCGATGGTGAGCTTTCCCTCTTCCCACGTTGGCACTTATTCCAGGGCAGCCAGGTAGATAACGGGACTCAGAATTTCTTCGAGGGTTGTCTCTTCTCCCTCCGATCGCTTTTCTGTATAATAACTTTCTTCCTCTAACCCTTCTTCACTCTCGTACTTCCACTCGTCAAAGACATCTCCGCTCTCATAATCATTTGCATTTATCTCATCTGGACGTGCTAATCCTTCAATGCCATTATGCGAAATAGGTACTTCCAACTCTTTCCCTTGATATTTCAGAAGTATCCTTTGCTCATCAAAGTGTATCCGAGCTTTTCCTTTTTGGAACCAATCGGTCTCCAGTAGGAGCGTCTCGTCCCTAGATTTAATAACTCGCAAGGACACGGAATGGTTACTCCCTGTATGGTTATCCCTACCTCTCTAGCTTTCCCCAGGGTCTTTTCCCTCGTCCTGTTAACAGTGACGACGACGGAGGTGGATTTCTCGTTTATTTCCAAATGAAGTTTATCCAGCAATTTTTTTGTTATTATACTCACTGCTGCCCCTGTGTCCAGGGTGGCGATCACCATCCTGCCCCAATTTTCACATAGCATTTTGCTGCTGTTGTCCTAAAGGTGTCTGTGGAATTTACCTGGTTTGCTTCTTCCTGCAGCTTGGCTTGTTTAAGTATCTTAAAGAGGTTGTGCCGCTGATCGGTATACTTCAGCAACTGCCCATATGTCGCATTTGCCTTCATTGTTAGGATGTCCTCTGAGATGTCGTATGGGTCGAGTACGTCAATGGTTGATGGCATTCTTTTTCGTCTAGGTCTCTTGGTGACACCAGTTGCCTTGGGGGTGTACGATCACTATTGGTTCCTGTGTTCTTATAGATTTCAGTGTCTTTTGTGATTCGTCCACGTCTCTTCCTTCCTGTTACCTCGGCCTGCCCCTTTTTTCTGCTGTCTCCAATGTGTATGCCTCCTCCTCTTCCTCTCCCCCCTCGTTTCCTCCCACTTCATAGCAGTACTGCACTTTTGGGATCATGGTCCTCACAATTCCTTTTTGTGCCTCCTCTTCAGTACACTGCTGGGCTATGTGTCCTTCTCCTCCACAATGGTAGCAAACTACGTTTTTCCTTTTTCTGCCTCTTTGTTCTTGTCGTGACTCCCTCCGTTGTTTCTCTTGATTCATCACAAGTTTCTTGATCTGTTGCTCAAGCCTTTCTATGTTACTCTCTAGTTGTTTTGTCACATTCCTTGTTCTTCCCCGGGCTGGTTGCTCATAATAGTTTCCTGCCTCTGCTCTGCGTGCCACTGCAATGGCCTCCGTTAAGTCCCTAGGTAACGTCATGGCTACGAAGGTAGCAGTATTGCCTTTTAGTCCGTTCAAAACATTCTCACTACGTAGTCATCTGGGATTGTTCCCTTCGGGTCTACCCTCGTTAGTAAGCGCTTGAACTTCATGGCATACTTTTCTACTTTCTGTTGTTCTTCTGACTCAACTTGTTTAACTCTATTTGCCACTTATGTCATTTCTCTGACGTTGCGAAGTGTTCCACTAGTGCATGGTAGAAGCTCTGCACAGGTTCTTCATCATTTTCTATACTGTAATTTCATTTTTACTTTCCTTATACCAGTTGGCTGCCAGCCCCAGCAGGTACCCTAGGGCTATTTTCAACTTCTTTCCATCCTTCCACTCGTTAGCTTCTGCTATTCGTTTGAAACTTTCTAGCCATTCGACTGCGTCGTCATCCTCTTCCCCAGCAAACGGTTTCACTCACACAGGATCAGCTTTCCGTGTCCCATTCGACTTGCTTGCTATGTCGTTTATGGCCTCAAATACACCTCGTATTAGCTGTTGAAACTGATTGTCATTCATTGCTGCTTCACATAGTAAGTATTTTCGTACTGCGGTGTTTAATTGTAACCGCGTTCGCTTGTATCTATTTTTTTTTGTTACTTGTACCTAAAAGGAAGAATTTAATTAATAAAACAACCAATAATGATTAAGGAATTTTTTTTTTAATTTTTAAATATGTCTATAACAAATGATCGGAGGAGTAGCAAGTGTTGTGGTTATAATTGTGGAGGGAGAACTAGAGTGGGTAATCGGTGATGTACGTTTGATTTATGGTTCCGAAAATTGGAATCGAATAGAATCGAACAGAATCGCATAAGGTTCGGAACACTATTAAAAATGAT